ATTTACCTCACCAAATTACAAGCAAGCCACACTCGCTTCTTCCTGTATGAAAAGAAGGGTAACTTAAAATAAAGTCGCTAGGTAGCAGTGGAATTTCTGTGAGTTAGCAATACACCAAACCATCATTTAAAACAGGGGTAGCAGTCTACAGCTATGACTAACATTTGATGCAGTTCAGTGTTTTCTCCTCTAGTCATCCTCAGTGTAAATACAAGGAAAGAGGCTTCCTCTAAAATAAATCCAGTTATTTTGGAGACAGACCTCTTGGTTTGCCTTTTTAAGATCAGCATTTAGGTGACCAGCCATGGGTCAAGACTCTCAGCTATCCTCTCCTCCTGCACAGTAAAGAATTCCAGGAGGCACAGGAAAACACTAAGGGACCACAACAGCATGTTTTGAATATGCTTTTTCTTACTGTTGCTTTTCAGCAATCCGCAGTGCAAGGCGAAACGCAGGCCACCATCTTCTGATGATGTTCCTTCAACAGCACAGCCTTCTAGCACGGGAGGAGACAGCCACTTACCGACTTGGAATTCGACTGTCATACACACTGAACAGAGACATTCAAGCTGTTTAAAAACATACCCGCAGCGTACTCCACAACACTTAGTGGTAAGAGATTATCCTCCTAAATCTACAGACAGGAAGATAAGCATTCCCATTTTGACGAGGTGGAAAAGCTCGAGGAATCTTACTCATAGCCCCAGACCTGGGGCTGATTGCAGGTGCTGGGAGCCCAGCCATCCCGCTGCCACTCCGCTGGCTCCTCTGCCCATCCTGCTCGCAGGCAAACCACAGAGCCAACCTCCAGCTCTGTACCCGGCTTCTAGGCTCCGCCGTTGCTCACTCCACCCTTCACTGGCACAAGCCTTACCTGTCCAGAGGCCTTTCCTTCTGGGACCTGTCTTGAATTACATCCTTGTTTCTACCTGTTCTTTTATCTCTCTCCAGTTCCACCTTATATGTAATATCTTTATATAAGTCTACTGATTTAATTCACTCATCCAGAGAAGAAAAACCCCTGACTAAAATGGGCAGTTTTCTTCCCAGGTTAGTGAATTTAAGTGGTTGATGCGGGGATGCTACAAGCACCCCAGTAAATACAAGGGAGGCAACAAAACCCAGCGAGCAGCAGGCAAGCCGGCTGTGGCTCGCCCTTCTGGTAGTGGTGAGCCAGCAGACCCGTTCAGCTGTCTGTGAAACTGCAGGCTACTTTGGGACAGAGCACATGGAACACTAAAAATAAGCTGGACACTTTATATCCATGCTGAATGTAAAGAATCTTTCCAAAACTCTTAAGGAGTCTTACCCTTGCTAGCATCGGACCCGAGCACGTTTCCACACCATGCCCCCCTCCCTGCCAATTTAAGTCACCACGACACATTCGCCAAGTATCATGCCAACAGTAAGCACCTCAAATTACCAAGTTATTCTGCACGTAGCTGCAATTACGTTGGCTGCGTGTATTTGTTTGCTGTTGTTGCAGCGAACTGTCCCCCGCCCTGCTCAGTGAGCTGCTACAACATCAAGACCCCTTTGGTTTACTCGAAGGTGAATCATTTTACACGTTACCGAATGAGACAACACCATAGAATGCAAATTTAAAAATACCATTTATAAAACCAGAAATTTATTGTCAATTTAAAAAAAAAAAAACAAACTGAGATGAAGTTTCTTGATAAAAATTATTCACACAGCATTCATGTTGTGATTTTTTATTTTATTTTTGAAATGAAACCATTGTACATTGTACAAACCATAACTACCGATGGAATAAATAAGTGAAAAATTATACTGCTGTACAACACACACACACACAAATCATAAGATGGAAAACGATTAGGTATTGAAGAAAACAAAAGTCTTTACACCTTCTAACAGGCCCTTAGATATAAAGAACATTCCAAACCAGGACAATGTTTATGTATGAAGATAGCCACCCAAAACCAATATTTTATACTGCCTTGTTGATTTTTTTTTGTTGTTTTGTAAGTGCCAGCACTTTTTGGAATGTTTAACAACTACTTTCCCAAGCATAAAAATTCCAAGGAATAGTTCTGCTATAAAATGTTTGGCTGAGTAAATCGCTTATTCAGAAGGCCTTCCCACATGTTCCACAAACTCAGCTAATTTACTTGCTTGCTTCTAGTTTCCTTTTTTTTTTTTTTTTTTTTTTTGTATTTATTTGTAACTGAAGCTCCAACATTCAGCATTGTAGCAAGGAAGCACTTCTTGATATTTGCACTATTTCTAAAACACTAGCTGTATGAGAACTTTCAGTCATCTTGAAGAAAATTACATCTCTCCTTCTGCTCTACGTCTCAATACTTTCAATAAACCCTTTTACAGTGAGTTCATAAAACAAGTTTCTGGTAGAGATAGGTCCAAGCCAAAAAAAGCTGGAATCTGGTTTCAAACCTCAGGTCGATTTGAATTCGATATTCTGGTTTGGTCCCATCTGCACTTTCTGGCATTAAAATGTGTTTAATCACATCCGTTGGCCCATAAATGTTATCAGGCACTTCAAAAAAAGACTAATAACAGTCTTATACACTATTTTGGATTTCTTCATACCAGATAATGTCAAAGTCTCTTCCTTTGGAGACTGACAATAACAGGTCTAAGGAACCCAAATCTATCTGCTTGTTCAGTTGTCTGTTGTCACTAGAATCTCTGGTTAGGAAAAAAAAAAGTTCTGAATGTATTCTGTATAAGCTGTAAATAAAGCATTACTATTTTAGAAATGAAGCCTCTAGGAATATGGTTATGATGCCTTGTCTTGTAAGTCACAGAACAATGAACAGTTCTGAGCAGAAGCCACAGGAGAGAAAAAGGAAGTTTATAATTAAACCTGTTGATGTCAATAATGCCAATAGATGCTTCTATCTAATGAAAAATTTGAGGTATTTTTAGTGCTATTTATATATTTTATTTCTTCCTAAAGTACAGGAATTAGTTTCTAAAAGAAAAGTCTATTTACTCCCTTGGAAACATCTACAAAATTAAAATTAAAAACTAGCTGCGATGCACCTGAAGATAGGGATTAGTAAACATGACTACTTCTCAAAGGTGGCATCAGATTTGTTTTGTTTCAGCATTAAAAACAACAAAAAGTTAGTAAATCAAAAATATTTTTAAGTTTGAATCTTCTAGATTTGCCCATTTAATATATCAATAGAACTTCTCACAAAATATCACTTAAATCTGAATGTAATATACATACAAATCAATTGTCATTGACCAGTTATCCACATTTTAGGCATACACACAATTCAAGAGAGAATTCTACCGCTTCATTGCATATATTGTGCAAATACAGTTTTTGGCTCCTCATTTCCTTAATTTCAGAATGTTAATGGACTTCATGATCAGACCAGAAATCCCAAAAACTTATTAGGGAGCACACTGCTTTCATGAATGATTTGCAATCAAATTTTATTCAGTTAAAATCCAAAAAGTTTTATTTCAACATAAAAGGAAAAGTTCCGCAACTGAGTGTCGTATGTTATCCGGAGCTCGATCCCACAAACATCTTACGGAAGGTCAGTACTGGCTCCCCACTCCTCCCTCCCTCCAGTCCCTCCCCCCCTCCCCATTGTTTTCCATAATAAAGTGGTAATTGCAAACGCAATGCAGTAGTCTAAGTGCAAGCCATTTTCACTGTTGGAGAATTCAGAAATAAATAAGCTTAATGAAGAGCTAATTATCAAAATGTAGCAACTGGAAGCAATTTTTTTTTTCATTTAAAAAAGTATTTACAGTTCTTAGCTTACAAACTACACGCAACCATTTCCACAGCTGTGAGATCGTATTTTAAATCACAAGTTCCATCTCCCAGACCAAGTGAAGACAGACTGAGGGCCCGATCCAGCAGTACGTATGTACGTACACGCGTGCGTGTGTGCACCGCCGTGAGAAACTAGCAGTTCCCACCGACACCGGGTATTTATAACTGGGAGCTCACCCTGGAAGTACAAAGCCCACTGTAAAATCAGGCCCTCATGACCCGATGCAGATGGTTCTGCGCTTCTGCACGCCACGAATTTGGAGGGAGCTGCACATCCTCGGTGCCTTTCGATCAAGTTTAGCATAAGCACGCTCTGACATAATTGGAAAAGAAGGAACATTTCTAACAATGACGTAGAGACTATGGAAACAACAAGGCTTATTTACAAGACTTGCTGAAAGAAGGAACGAACCCCCAAACACAGTATTAACCTGGAATACAGAAGTAAACATCTTATAAAGAAACAGTACAATGAAATCCAGTTCAGTGAAAACATGATATCAAAAAAGACCAATTGAAAATAAATTCACTGTGCATCAATCCCTTTGATCCTATTTATGTACATAATGGAACTTTTCTGTAAAGTGAGTTGTACCCAGTACAGAGATCTGGACCTAATACGTAAGTATTTTAACTGCTGTGTTATAGTATATATTCAGATCTGGACTATAAATGGTAAACAGATCATATTAACTTCTGATGAAGTTAAGTATTTAGAAGACCAAATTTACAGTTGCGAATGCCATGCATTCAATAAAAGATCTCCACTATAGCTGCTAAAATAAAATATCAAGCTCCTTTTTCTCCTTGGACTCCAAGAGTGAAAATGGCTTCCTGATCTCTATTTGTTAAAAATTTAAGCACCAGGGATTTAAAAACTAAAAACAAAACAAAAACCCCAAACAAAAAAAAAAAAGGAAAAATAAAAAGAAAAAGCCTTACTACATGGCATTATACAAACATAGGCCACTTTGCAAAGGAGACAGTTGCAAAACAACTTTTAAAAGTTAGCACTGTTTTCAGAACACAAGGCACAAAACAAAAGCAGACATCACGCCAGAACAATGAACTTCACATGAAAGCTAATACCTGACCTGTACCATCCTTAAATATCTTACAATGTTAAATAGAGAAATGAAAAACAAAACAAACAAAAAAAAATACAGCAGCAACATAATTGTAATTTTGACTTTAGAAACAGTGCGTAGACCCCTCCTGAGTTGTTTACTCCAACCATTTCAGAGACAGTAACTTAAAAGTTCTCAAATGTTTGTTTCACAGGAAAAAGTTTTCAGTGTCTGAGAAGTTAAACCTTTGTTAGGCTTTCTTGGATTTTTGCTTGGTAACTTGAAAAGTTAGGAGTTCTGTCCTCATCCAAGAGAAGATGCTTAAGTAAGGTTGTTCTATAATTAAGCCCACTGATGTACCTTACATAAAAACTGACCAGAAAAATCTATAGTCTAAATCTCTTCAACACTTTGTTGGGAAGCCTCTACTTTCATCTTTTTAGAAGGTGGCACTCCTTCAGAGTCCTTAATGAGGGGGAAAAGAAAAACAACCACGTTATCATTGCACTCAATTTCGGGCACCATAAACACCAAACAAAAAGCACCAACAAATCCCCTGGTGTGTCACTTGTAAAATACAAAGCATCCCTGGATGCGAGCAGGACATGAGCAAGCGCGTTTGCTTCCTGCAATCACTCCTCTGCTCACATCTTACCGCAACATCTTTACGCTTCTTGTCGTCTACAGACAAAGGGCAAAATTCTAGTTCCGGGCTAAAAACCAGAGTGAATAAATATTCCAAGCAACGGCCTTGATGCGTGGTTATACCTGGACTTCCCTCAGCTCCACACTCGAGCACAACCCCCACCGAGCGCACACGAATTTTCTCCTGCTGCAGCCAAAGCAATGTCTACAGGACAGAACACGCAAGGTTTGGAAAGCGCACGGTGCGCGCTGAAACAAGCCAACCACCCGCAAGGAAAAACAACGGACTGAGCAGCGCTCTGCCTGAGGATCTTGGTGGGAGGGGGACAACTGCAAGGATAATTTCTTTCTCCCACCCACCCAGAATTTTTCACTATACCAGTGAGAAAACATCCAAACACCTCGTCCACTAAATCTACAAAAATTAACTTTCCTACCTGCTATATGCATTTACTTTTATAGAAGGTGTTTTACTTCTGAATGGTCCTGTCCAGCAGGTCAGGTCCAAGCAATTTATTAACATGAAATTTTAATGCTCCCTTACAAAACTAACACCGACTGGTTTAGGAAACTGAAAAGTTAATCAAACCAATCTAGTTCAAATTATGTGAAATGCAAGAAGCCAATCTTATTAACTACAAAACCAGTACACGTACATTTAATACTTTAAACCTGCTTTACTGTCATCACCTTCAGAAACGAGTCTAAGTACATAACTGACCTCCTTACATTTGATTTTCGGTAAAAATACTCTTTTCCAAATTCCAAGTAATTGGGCTTTCACACTTAAAGTTACCTGAGAGTTTTTAGACGCCTCTGTAACTATATCATTTTCTCCAGAGGACTGAATTTCTGCTTTCTCTGAACTATTCATGGAATTTTCCATTGAAGACTGTGAATTCTGTTCATCGGAGGTATCTGCAATTTCAAGAAATAATTTTAAACAAATACACAAAAGAATTCAGATGTCTTCTCATCAGCGACATCCCAAACACAGAAATTTCACTCACGCGTAACCATTAATTATAACATACACAACAACTGTATGAATATAACGAATTAAGCTCAAACTCCAGGACCACAACCACTGGCTGCTGCCGGAAGACCGTCACCTTCACGCTGCCAGCAGTGTAGAATTTCTGGAATCACTCCCTAGAGGGAGCTCAGCTCCCACACACCCCGAAACACGGCGCGATGTCAACGCTGTTAGCGAACAAGTTTCAACATAAACTTTGCAAAGGGGCTGATGGCAACTTGCTTCAAACCCGAAGTAAAAGACAGCTACAAAACGGGCTGAATTGCGGTAACTAACGGATCTAAGACTGAGTAGCTAAGGAGAGAAAATAAAGTTAACTGAATCGAAATTCAGCCATATATTTAAAATCCACTTCTTTGCTTGATACTAATTTAAGATAAAATTTAGAAATTCTTAACCATTAAGGTTGTAGATTTTTAAATTCTGGTGCATACTTATGGAGAAGCCTTCCAGTTTGTAATAGCTCTCACTTGCTTTCAACTTTCATGTTCTGGGGTGTTTTGGTTTTGTTGTGTTTCTTTTTTTTTTAAACCCCTTCTCTCTCTCTCTCTCTCTCTCAAAGCAAGACCTACAGAGGACTCAGGGTTAAAGCACTCATTCACTCCAAGTGGGGATGGGGCACTTTAAGGACTGGAATCTGTTCCTTCCTTCACCTCATTTAAAAATCTTTTCTGACTCGAATGAATTCTCACAAGTATGCATGGAGTCAAGTTTTATGAAGTGATCTCTCCACAGGTCCCTGACCCAGGAAACAAAAATTTATTCTAGATGAAGAGAAATGCAAGATCAAAAAAGTTTTTGGACAACTTTGGTTAATGAAGAGGACATAACCAGTGAGTAATGGATATTTTTGTGGTGCGCTGAATTAAAAGCATGGCAAGTATTTCTGAAAGTTTCTCTGGCAGAATTCAAGATAAAGTGACACCTATGATGAGCGGTCTCAAAGATCATATTCAGCAAACTCAGACAGAACCGCCTTATTTTCCATGTCTCACCAGAAAATCATGTTCATACAAGTCCCAAGGGTCAGAAGGAATTTCCATTTCAATTTCTCTTGTGTATGTCTGAGCATACATTGCTACTTGAGCTAAGGAGCACTCTGTGATGTGCGCATCTCTCCATGACAAAAACACACTTAGGAGCAACTTCCACACCGTACATCTCAGCTGCTGTGTTCTCTTCCAGTTCCTCCTGACAGCTACTACTCACGCTGCTGCTGGCCTTTGGGCAAGGGGATCCGTGTTTTCAACTGCCAAGCCCCAAGCTATTCTGATGCCTACAGTGACTTCTTTAGACAGCAACATGTTCTGAATGCCCCTGTTTTCTTTGAGAAGTCCACATTAGGCGTTTCTGACCACCCAGACTGTCCCCGAGCTTTACGGAACCTCCTTGACTTCAGTGTAGTAACACGAGAGACACGTACAAGGTCACTGATTTTATCCAGTTGAGTAAAGTCACAGTTCCAGGGGTGTGATTGAGCGTAACACTTCGGTAGATAAATAACTATTTAATAAATTTTTAAACACGGCATATAAGCAATGGAAAAAAAAACACATTAGCAACGGGTGTTTTTTGCCATTATTTCTCTCTTTCATTTTACAATAACTGGCTCTGGAACTAATCCAGAGAACTTGGTATGATTTTCCCTGAACCTAAATTTAGTCAGGGGAGCACGTATGCTATGTAACAACTTCACACAAGCAGGTTCAGATAGTACTAGACCTGGGAGGAAATCCTTACTGTTTACTGTGACCAAATATGTTGGTTTGAGATTTTTTTGTTCCAATTTGTTTCAGTTTGATGGCAATTCAGTAGTCAAATTTTAACTCAATTAACGATGACAACATTTAAAATACTTAACCATCCTGGTATTACCAAGATAAAAGCTCTAAATTTAACTCGGTTAGTGGATCTACTGAGCTAAGAACTAAATCAGGAGGGTATAATTTAATTGCTTTGCTATGGGAAGAATTCTGCAACCAAATCATTAGAATGGTGTTAAGGACATCTTTTACCTGTTATAACAGGATGAAGAAAGTTATCTTCCCAAGAACATAAACACAGAGCATGTTTCCATTACCCAAAATACCATTCAAAGAGTGAGGTTCAGAACAATCTCTTAACCCACATGAATTTTTAATCTGCACACAACTGCAGTACAATATTGCAACACTTTGGGAAAATCAGGACAGGATTCAGAGCTAACTTTTGAATAACTAACTACCAGGGTTAAGAAAAATGAAAGCTTATATTAAAGTTCACACAATTAAAAAAATAATTTCAAGGTACCTCACCTCTATTTTATTTACACACTGGATAACGAACATTCACAGATCTACAAAAGTAATACTCTCCAGGATTCGTGTGATTACATAGTATCAGCCATTTTAAAGATGATTATAAATTATTTCTTCTTTCGAGACTGAGATTAGGACAACAATAAACCTAGTATTTTGTTTGTTTCCTCTCTGAAAAGACCGTGAATGTCAATCTGACCTTTCCAGTTATATGGAAGGATCACCAGTAGGCCAGAGAGCTTATTGCCCATTTCCACAAAACCGCTGAGAATTCAGATATCATTTCTCTCAAATTCTTATTATTCAGTTCTTAAAATGGATAAGCAAATAAATGATACTCTAAAGGACAACATTTTTTGTATGGCTTCAAAGATGGTCTTCTCAGCTCACCTTCTGAACCAGGCTGCTCCTTCGCTTCCGTCTGAGTTTCGTCAGACTTTACTTCAGTGCCGTCTGCTTGTGTCGCGAGGTTCTGCTCCGGTGCTGGACTTGAATTACTACTGTTTTCTTGTTTTATTGGGGAAGCATCAGCTATTGAACTCTGGTTGCTATTGTCATCTGTTAACAAAAGAGTTAAAAACAAGAAAGTCTCATCTGACAAGGTAAAAAGCACACCTTTATTCTTCCATATGTTTCCTGTACCGTTCCTTGATAACACAAGATATAGTCTAGCTTCTTGGGGATCAAGTCCAAGCGTTCAGGGTAACGCTACATGTAACTTTTTCCACATCACAATTTTTGCTCTTGCAGCCTATGCTGTAATACAGGAGTTTTCTAGCAGTTACTAAATATCAGAAAACTTAAAAAAAGGTACTCTAATATTATACAATAAAATCAAGAGTGTTTTACTCAGATCTCTTCCAAAAGAGCCCAGAATTGTGTCATATGAGTAAAACAGACCAACTGAAGCAACAGTCTCATTTTACAGCCCATGTAACACGGGGCTCATGAAGTGTTCGTGCCGCAGATTTACAAATATCCATCTCTACCATGTTGAGATGAGCAGATAGTTTTTGAAGTGTGTCCTGAAGGTAAAAAAAAACCCTCCCAACAAAATCCCGTCACGGTAAAATGTAACATCCAGTCCCAATATCAATAGTTTCTAAGTGATAATTGTCCAGAATATTCTCTAGCCTCCAAAAACTTGGATCACAGTAAATTTCTGCAGTACAGACCGTGCCTCTGTAGTTAACAGGAAATATTCTGCCTGCACCCTCTTCCTGTGGAAACCAGTGACAGTGGTTTAAGTATCTCAGTTACTACTTTATGGATAGCAGTGGGATGCAACTTCCTGTAATCTTTTGGCCAGTCTAACAACCACGGGTAACCAAGAGGGAAGCTCCCAGTCCTAAAGAAAACTGACCCAGCAAAACATTATTAGTTAATTACTAGCATGGAAGTCGATCCACCGCCTTCCGCAGCTGTACAACCATTACATCCAAAGGACTTCAGAGACACATAGCTGGTGATGGGACCTTCTCTTTTCAGAGCAGCTTGAAGTCAGATCAGATTAAGCTTATCATGAAACTGTACAGTATGTCTTAAAAACAAGTGATATATGATAAAAAAAACAACCAGTATATTCACCTCGCAGATGGGAGAAACAAGACCTGAGAGAATTAAATGATCTGATCAAGGCAAAAGCTAAGAAGTTTGAAACAGATGAAAAATTAATCCAGATCTGTGAAAATCCTGCTCAATTCTCTAACTGCAAGACCATACTCACTGTCAACAGTGCGAAAACCAACCAGGAGGCAATACAAATGCAAATAAAACTGAAATGAAAAATTTACAACCCACTAAAAAGTGATCTCTCTCTTCTCAGCTCAAATAGTGCTGCATTCTCAGTCATAATTGTTATCCAAACACCTAGAAGGTAAAAAACTGAAACAGAGCTGAGCTGTGCAAGCTCCTCTGTAATAAATACCAAGTTAACACTCAACAGTTCACATTAAAACAAAAAAAAAACTAAAATGACATAACAGTGCCTGACTGGCAAGCAAAAAAATGCTTTCTTAACCAGTTAATTTCATTAAGCTGAAGTAAAAGGAAAATACTGCAGAACCAGAGCTTGCCTTCTTGGCTCTTACAGAATTCTTTTGACCTGACTCACCTATAGTTAACAAGTGCAAAACCTGCACAAATTCTAACAGGTGCCACTAAGCCTTTAGGGTCTTTTGGTTCTTCAAGCAGCAAACTCAAGAGTTACTACTTCACCTGAGTGTACTAGTTTGAATGGTAGATATTTCTATTTTTATTTTCATATTTAGCTCCACCAACAATTTTTTTTCCCACACACACAGAGCCCAAATAAAAATGGCATTTACACAACTGGTAGTACATCCGCAGAAGAGAAGTCCAAGGTACCAAAAGAGTATCTGATGCTGTTTTCACTTTGACTCAATCACACTGTCCAAGCAACAGAGAATTTCACACTGTTAGCTTATACTTTCATAGCAGCGTAACAGGGTAATTGGGGCTGACCTTCTCCCACTCACCATGCATGTCCATCATCCCTGGAGAGGAGCTGTTCTCTGGAGTGGTTACTTCAGAACCACATTTTTCATCTTTGCCTTTTTTCTTATTCTTATTTTTCTGAAAAGCAAAAGGTACCACAAACAAATGAGACTATCGCCACAAAGGGAAATCCACGTTGCAATATAAAACCCTTCCCACTCATTACTTCTGTAAGCATCTCACTTGAAATTAAGTGAGAAATAAGAGCAAGGTCGCCCAATAATCACTGACATTATCAATAATGCATTAGTCCCAATAACTGCAGGGCTGTTTTTCTAATTGCACTTTTCATGACACAAAACACTAGGATGTACATGTTTTTATCCAGAAATTCTAGTAACAGTGAGCACTTAAACATGTTTTTCATTTTCAAACAATCGCACAATTTTTGTAAAAAGTGCAAGAGCTCTCAATAACACCCCTCGTTCTACAAACAGGGAATCTGAGGCACGACGACTGAACGGCTCGCTGAAACTCCGTGGGGGAACTCTGTACTCAGCCCAAAGAGCTGCAAAAGACAGGTCAAAAGAATCTGCTACAGTGGAAATAGGGAAGGAACACTGCTGATCAGAGGCAGGACTAGGATTCCTGAAACTACCCAATTTCTGAGCTCGTAATTCTGCTCACTGTATAGTTTATGCATATCAACACAGTGCTACAAACCTCCATACACTCTCCCTTTCATATCAAAAAGCTTGCAGAATACACCTAGACAACATGAATGCATGCACAACAGGAATCGTAACAGATCTACAATTTTTACACTAAAGAGACACCTTTTACCTCCTTCTCAATGACCAACATTGCAGAGACCTCCTCCTTCTCTACAACTAATGTTGTTTCTTCATTAAAACTAAAGGACGGATTAAGAAAACTCAGATTGGCCTAAAACAAAGAGCATGAGAAGACAGTCCTACGTGAACAACAGGTCACCACATGCTCATGACCGAACAACTGTATGGACTGCAAGCATTAAAACAAAGGAGGAGACAGTGGCATCCATCACGTGGAAAATCTGCGTCTGTCCGCTAAGGGATGCAGCATTTCCAATTAAGAGGTGACGTAATCAGTCTCATAGGAGAGAAAGAGCAGCTGCACTGCTTTTGGAGGAGCCTGCGTGCCTGCTGAGAAGACAATTAACAGCCTGACTCTAGGAAGAACACTCGGCAACCCATCCATTTGGCTAAGGCGATGTCCTCCAACGAGGGACGGAACTAAAATCACAACCAAATACAGTCTAAGACTGCAGAAGAAATTCAACAAGTGATACCTGGAAGGTCTCTTCCCTCTAGATTATCAGGCTTATTTTTAAATTTTATTTTTACTTCAACGAAGCCAGATTTTATTCCCTACTATGCGAAACGGGTGAAAGCACATGGACTTCTTTACCTTTGCAAAATGAAAGTTCAGAAAGGACATCCTCTCTCTCAGGTTTGGGTTATGTTTTGTTTTTAAAGGTAAAAAGGACACTTCCACCACAAAAGAAATACTGAAAAAATGACTGAGAGTAATTTAATCTGAAAAGTTTTTTTAAAAAAGGTTTAACCGTTGAAGTGGTAAGGTTCTACAACAGCCTTCTAAAACTAGTAAAGGAAAGAGTCTAGCTAATTCCAGTTCAAAGAAATGTCAAAGTGGCTTAGGAACAACATGTGAGGAGGGAAGTAATCCAATCTGCGTTCACTAAAATCAAAGACAACTTCCATGTGAAACATGAAGCAGTAAAAAAGATCCCATTCCTCTTTTCTACTAAAAAGCAAGTATACTGCCTGCTCCTTCACAAGTGGATGAAATCAGATATAAAAGGATTAAATCGTCACAGTGAACCCCTACCTGATATTTAATTTTTAAATATATGCAATTTTGTGAGAACTGTACAATTGTGAGAAGTTCCAGGCCAAAGACAGATACATCAAGTCTGCAGCAACTGCAGCTGCACAACAGCCTCCACTTCTAATGAACTGGGGCTGCAGGACACGGAAGTAACTGGTCTCGAACCAGTGCCTCTATTTGAGCAAACAGGAAGCCTAAACTTGAAGATGATGGCTCAAAAAATACAATTAAACTCTGCACATAGAGACTGTTACACAAACCCATTCTCAACAGAGAATCTGACTTCAGGTACCCGTCCCCCTGAAAATTCATCCAGAAACTCACTAGCAATTCCCTTTCCAAGTTCCGCGGTACCCATCATGCGAGCAGGGCTTAACTGCGGGAAAACAATTTTCAGAAGCCATAAGCCTAAATATCTCTGTCACATAGACAGCACAGCTTTTTCCCCCGAAGTATTATAAACAATAAAATCAAGACAAAACGTTGGACAACAAGAAAGAATGAAAAAGTTTCTGTAAAGAAACCAGGAAAGGTTTCCCAGTTCACAAGGGGTTATTTCACAGAGATGCTGCTCACGTGCTGGAAGATTTCAAGAACTTATCACAACTCTGACAGTCACAGAAATCTGTGGTGCAATCAAAAGTACAGAAGAAACAAACTCAGTTAAAACAAGGCTAATCAAAAGCAGGTCTTGAATTTGGACTTTGAATAAGACAAGATTATGACACTGTCTTGTCTGAGAAAACATCATTTTACACATTTGTTAACATAGTAGTTTTCTTCCAGATAGATCTTAACTCGTATTTCAAACAAAGTAAAAGCACATGACAGCCCAAGGAAGGAGTACCAAACTCAGGATATATATTCTATTGTATCATTAATTTACTGTGGTACCATGGATTAGTTTTATCTCTGTAACAACATCTCAATTTATAAAATGAGAGCAATGTTCATTTTGAAAAACAATTTGTAAGCCTTATCAACTCTGATTTTTACACTTATTTTTATGCCACATGATTGTATCATGGCAAATGAACAGTGCACACTAAGAACATAAACATGATGCACACATAAAACATTTATCAAGAGAAAATACACATCACAATAGAGGCACATCTGCTGTGTTGCTTGGGCTGGACATCTTAATACAAGGGATCTCAGTTCCATATGATTTTCCTACCCTTACTTCAGTGTTTTGCACCTATTTTTGAGCAAAACAGCAGTACAGATAGAACACGTTTTCCCCACAGGTCCAAACCAGCTACTTTCCTTTAAAGCATCAGACAGAAAGAGGAGAAAAGTAATCAATGTCTTAGCTTTCCATCCCCATCTCTCAATTGTTACGTTAGAGAAAGTTTTCAAAAACCAGTTTCAGGCTGAATGTTTTAACAGCCATCTGAGAATTGATCCAAGTTGACTCCGGGAAGACTGCCACCCACTGAACCATCACCTTCTGTAGAGATCAACATTTATCTATTCAAATGCTTGCAAGGCCCACACCAGTCTTAGCTTAAAGGCTCCAAGAACAGAGAGCGTATTTCTTTTGACTTGCCCTAAACGTGAGTGTCTACATCTTGAAAAAAAAACAAGACATCTGCAGGATACTTACATCATCAACTTTAGGCTCTGTTACTGGTACCCATTTGTAAATCCTTAGGGATGTGTCGCCAACTGTCACCCACTTCTTCTCCCTATAAAATTACAAGGCAGGAGAAGTTAAAGTTAAACTTGGGATTCAAAAGAAAGTGATCTACTATTGCATGTTGTCAAGGATTTAAATAGGCTATTAAGTAGGATGATCTCTGTTAACGGTCATCTTTAACTGCATTGTGCAAATTGTTCTTTGCATTTCAAAAACTTGTTAGAGCACTGCTAACCTCCAGATTTCTCAGGGCTGTGACTTGACTAAGCGAGTAACTGCAGTAGCAGTAATAAAATCTGGATTAAAGATACAGTTAAGAGAACAGCTATTGAAAATGCAGATTTAATGCCTACAATTTGCACTTAAGTTTCTAGAAAGCAGAAGAGGTTTTAGACAGACCAGTGTGTTTTGATTGTCATGAAGCTGTTTAATGGTATTAGAGATCTAAAAGCACTTTGACCATCTGAGTTTTGGTTTTGGGCAGAAATTTGCTGCTGGCAACACTCAACACTCCTGCCAGACAGCTCTGAAATTCGAGCCTTAGAACCAACAGCCTTCTTGGTACCAATATGTGCCGTGATGCCGAACTGGGCCTCCGGAGAGCCCAGCTCTCTTGGACAGCAAAGGCTGAGAGGGCTATCAGAGAGGGAAAAAGCAGAACCTAGGGCACTCTGGGCAGACCCCTGCCAGCCATCCGTGCAGTCATGACATTGTGAAGTCGTGACATTGACAAATGCACAGGGAATCTGGCTGGAGGGCTTCACTATGTTAGGGTGTCACGCAGACAGGGAAGAATGCTGAACGTTCAGTTAAAGGGATGAATTCCTTGAGCTCTTGACATCAGAATATCAAAAGAAGGTCCACAATGCCAGAGAAATTTCATCACATTTCTGTGATCAGTTTGCAGGTCACAGATTACCACTGCTGGTTCCTGGGTTTGTAATACAACAAATGGATCGATTAAAAGTTAACAACAAAGACCAATTCCATTAAATATTCAGGAACATCTGAAATTAATTTGGCATGAGATCTCAAGCATTTTTCTTTTTTGAAAACACATTTAAATAATAGATTTGGGATCCAGTTATATATTAAAAAAAAAAAAAAATGTTCTTTGCAGGATGGGAGAAGCTGGATGTGACTCCAAATATGTGATAGCTCCATTTTTATAAAGGGCTTCCAGAATCAAAAGCAGCCACATTGTACAAATGCCACAAACATCCTCCTAACTATTTGTTTTAGCTACTAAAGCCAATCTTATTTGTTTTTCCTCTAGAGACACCTTCCTGTTTAAAAAAAAAAAAAAAAAAAGAGGCAAGCTCTATATGGCAATTTGACAATTTGATAAGTTTTGGATCTGTCCACAAGGATATTTTAATTAAAGTACAAAACTATTTCAGATTTGTTTCTTACCCACTGGTGCTCTTGGAGCACAGTTTTACCCTCAGTGTGTTTAGATACATCCATTTGGGTACACTAGATGGCTGAAGTATGTCAAAACCTAATTTTACGCTAATTTGGAGCTCTACTGCTAGATGTGATAAAAATGACAGGGGAGATGAGGGCATGTCAATAATGAGAGCGTACTTAATTGTGAAGAGATGATCATGACATAATTTATTTTTTTTTAAGGATACAAGACAAACTAAACTTACTTCTACTCAGCAAAACCTTTTCAATTATGGAAATAAAACCAGCTGGGGTTTTGTTTTGGGTGTGGGGAAAGGTGAATAAATGTTTTAAAAAAAAAAAAAATCAAGATTTTAGTCTTTTCCTACAGCAAAATATTACTTAGAGATGCTGCACTGGAAAACCAAAAGTTCAAGATACCTGTTAGCATCTCAAAGCAGCCTCACACAGCATCTTCACTGGACAGACTGTAGAACACAGGAGGAAACCTATATTAGTAACTTTTTCCTTCTAGTATTAAAGTTAGCCCTGACATTTTAATTCTTTTGAGCTTCTTAAGTAACACTTTAAGTTTTGATAACTCTCAGCTATAGGGACTTCTTTACTGAATTCGATACGCAGTAATTCAGACGACAATGGGAATAGGAATATTTTGTGATGGAAGTACACCAACATCCCAGTCCTGCAAACACTTATGGCTAAAAAGAAAACCCAACATCATACTGCTATTATTCAAATATTTCACATGTGTAAGCATTTACAGTATTGAAGGTTTAAGATCATAAAAGTATTAATAAGAAAAAAGACGACAACCTCCGCTAAAACTTAATAAAATCATTGGCAGCACTAAAACAAATTTGTTAACAAAGAAACGTAATGACTTTCAGACATTTAAGATCAACAGGGTAAAATAACTTCAGGATTTAAGATGTTTATTGCAAATCAAGCTTCAAATATCTGTAATACTGCCTCTCCATTTCAAAACAAAAAACAAACCAATCAAACAAACAAAAAAAACCCAAACCACTTCTACTCTGAACACTCACTTTTTACCTTTTGTCCAAAGACACCATCCCAAGCTGCTGATCAGGGACCTTCCTTTCCATTTAGTGAAAACTGACAACTTACTGATGCTGCCCATAACAATAAGTGTGCTAAATGCAGCACAAACTACAAAATATTCTCACTGACCAAACGCTGGAGTAGGAACGAGCAATTAATGAACTCTTGTGCCCATTCTGTTGTGAAACTTTAAGCAGTTTCTCCATCTGTTTTCCTGTCTGTAAAATGGACCTGTTGTTGAACCCACTCATCCTGAGACCCTCACCAGAATCCCACCCCCGTGACTCTTCCACCTTTGTTAAGTGATCACTAGGCAGTAACTTTCATTGTACCGTACCCTGTTACACTACACAGGTTCACCTCTATATTGACTGGTGGACTGGAAAAGGTGGTTGATGGAACACCATGAACCTGACAGTTAATCAGGCTAAAAACGTGGCCATCATCAACTTTATCTGCCCATGTCAGCCTGACAAACTCCTTAGCTTTTAAAAAAACCCACATTTTTTCTGCTTTCAAACCTCTCCTGTTCCTCCCTGAAAGACTCAGGAGTAACAATGGAAAATGGCAAAACTTAAAATATATACAATAACATTTTTTTCTCTTCATCTTCCACACTGAAAACTATCTTAAGTATTTTAGTTATAATAAATTCAGAAACTAATCAATGCAACAGAAACAAACCCTTATATTTATCTGAAATTGCGTTAGAGCATTTTTGAATTCTGAACCGTACCTGCACAGCATTCAAAGGACAGCCAAGGATTCGTAGGGTAAGCACTAGTATCAACACTTCTCTAGTGCTTATGCCCAAGACGTACCAATATCCTAGAACTTACATGATTATATACCCAATTCCGCATTCTAAACAGCCCAAGACTCTTAAATATATTTATATTTTGTATATTAACACTAAAGCTCAAAAAATGAATATCAAATTCCTTGTATAAAAGTAATATACCAGTGAGCAAACACAACAGTGTATATTACACTTATACATAAAGTGTCAAGGCAGCTTCTGCAGCGGCAATGAGTGCGAGAAACATTTCATGGCACAGAAACAGAAAGCCTTTCCTGCCAAGATATTGTTGTTCAAGAAAAGGCTTTCACACTTGCTTGGCTTTCCACCGTTGACTACCATTTATCATAGTGATCTGTATTTACACAAGGATTTGCTCCCACATACCCCATCTTCTGCTGATGATCACGAAGTGACGTCATAATGCTGAATTTATCACATCACACTCACTTGCATTGCAACAGAGTTTGGTGAAAATCACAGAATTATGACCTCCCTGTGGGATCAAGCAAAGGAGAAAGGGGAATGGGAAAGAAAATGCCATTATTATACACAAAAAAAAAAAAAAAAAATATTTTTTTGAAACATAGGCTTGCTTCTCAGAGCACGCCTGTTGCTGTGTAGGTGCTTCTCTAGTGACTAAGGTGAAGTAGCCCCAAATACACACGGTGTTTCTTGACCACGCTGCAAACACAATAAAATACCACATAGCACGAACGAGCAAAGACTAATGGTTCAGGATACCTTCTCTCTGAGTTTATCTAAATACGATGCATTACGAGTCCCCTTTAACGTACACGGGCCAGCGTGTTTTTGAGCAAGTTCTGCTGTGCTCCACGTTGCAATGAGCACCTTTTCTCACAGTGAAGAGCAGCATGGCTTACGCACGATAAAACTCTACCTTTAACACACACCCAGCTTCCGCTGAAGTCAGAGAGCATATCCTGGCTCAAAAAGAAATAACCATGAGCCAGAAAAAAAATGCATTGTACTTCAAGCATGGTAACAGCGTGTTTGGGCCGCTACAGTACTTCACTGCCGTTCCTGCACACACATGTGGTGTTTTCACTTCAAGTGCCACCACATGAACTACAATCTTAGCAGGAAACCAAACAGAGCCAACATAGCCAGACTAAACTAGGGTGGCAATCTGGTAGCAGCAAAGAGTCTTTTCCAAAGACATCATGTTACGACGTTCTACGTCTGAACTACTTTTCAGAGTGAGAGCCTATTTTAAGAAGGAAGCATGAGCAGCAAAACCTGCAGAAGCTCAATCTCAGAGCATTACATACCACACAAAAATATTTTAGCAAGTCTGAATGGAGACAGCGAACAGAAAAGCTACAGTAGCATTGCCTAGAAATTCTCCTCTAACTCACAGCCAGCAATCCCCACCATCGCACCGGGTAACACGATCTCACTGCCCCTTGGTGACTTTGCTCCTCAACTTTTACACAACGCGCTTTTGTTTTAAGCTACATCCCAAGTCATGTCTGGCTCTATAGCCAACTCTCTGCCGTAAGAAACGCTTAACACTTTCTGTAAGTACTTTCAGGAGTTGTCCAGGTTCACCTCTTCTTCATAACGTGCTACCACTATCCCTAGATTCGGGCTTTGATGGGTCAGAAAAAGGTCAAGGGACTTCTGCAAGGATATTGCGATTCAAAGACGAGCAACACAATGAGATCTCCTCATTCCTCGTGCGTTCTCTAAGTCAGGGTACCTATTCCCAGCAGCCACACCATACCTCCATCCTTAAATGTTTGCACGGTTGTCCAAAAGCTCAGCAGTGCTATGTATCTATGCAAATTATTTCACTGCCTCCCAAGACGTCTTACCACTTCTGCTTGCCTCCTGACCACTACCCGTCTTTTAGTAAATGTCTGCATTTTCTTTCATTTAATAAATCAGACTTCTATGAAACAAAAGTGCTTCTCGTACTTTTCTAATGCTGGTTGAGGGCACAATAGTTTTTGCCTCTCTCTTCTTGAGAACCCATTTAGAATCCACACGTAGCCATCAATCTTTAAAGACAAAAAACTACCCTGTACCTTTCACGATTCCTTGAGATACATTTCTCTCAGAGGACTTTTTAAAATAGACTGAAAGAAAAGTTGTAAGTACTGCTAAAAAAAAAAAAAGTAGAACTACCCTGTTAGCCATCGAAATTTAAGGTTTCTGCCACAAAAATACAACATAACCATGGATTCTGTAAAACACGTGTTAAGTGTTTTCCAAAATAGATACTCATTCACGAGAGTGGTTTAAACAAAGGAGATAAGGTTACAATAATCTCAAGATAAAAATGTAACAACTTCACTGTTTACTACTAAGTTCCAGTAATACCAGAAGTGCCAGGCGCTCTACAAACACGCACCAAGATAGGGTACCTGCATCAAAGGGCTCGCTGTCTAAAAAAGAATGTGTATTTTCTACGGAACAAAGTCTGCCCTGCTGGAAAGTGCTTTCCAACAGGCACCCTCACAGACGTGGCAGTACAGGCATTTGGTATTGTGGCACCCCAAGGCTGCTGCACGCCTTCACAGGTCGGTAAAGCTTCGGGTCGCACGCACCGGAGCCACTGTCCGCTCAGGAGAGTTCACAGTTCCGTCTGCCTCCCTGCTCATCTTCGGAACGCAGCACTCCGAGTGCAGAAACTCCGTTCTATGAAATGCTGGATTCAAGGTATTTTAATCTTCAGTGGCTGCATTTCCACAGAAGAGCTGTGGATGGCAACAAATTGCTCCTATTATGCAAATGAAACTGCACACTTGGAAATTGCCTATGTGGCTCTTCTGAAGATGCAGGAATTGCTAGCGTGTAAAGTTCAATTTAACAAGCCAAGTCTTTTCAAAACATTTAAACCACAAGACACAGAACCTCTCTTGCTAATTTCCCACTGTGCTTGACTGTAGGTAGGGGGGAACCATGAGATTCACCTTCAAACTATGATTCCTTTAAAAATAAGAAAAATGGTTTATGCAAATACTTGTGAGATGCACACGCAAAAGGCCATGTGAATACTTCCGACAATAATAAAAAGATACATTGCATGATTCTGTGTAGGAACCCTTTAAAGCAAGTTGTCTCTCATGAGGGTTAAAAGGTATAAAATCTATTTATACTGTAAGATTTCTGTTTTACAGAGGAAGCCATAGCAACTGACATGATGGCAGAGAGCCCTTGCCAGGCAAAAAAAATAAATTAGACATTTTGTTGAATGGCCAAGCTTCTGCCTCTACTCCTCTCTGAAAACCACAAACTAGGATTCAAAGGAAGTACTCTGCGCTCATGAATGAAATACCTACAGACGACATAGTCCCACATACCCAACAACGCTCCTGTTTGAACAAAAGTCCTGTCACATTGCTCTATATTGTTCCGACGCTTCAAAGCTGGCCCACCAGTCAGCAAACTGCACTTAAAAACACCACCCGAGTAGAAGAGAGTTCCTGAAACCAACCGAACCGCGGTGCTCGGGCTGCTCCGGCTCCCTACACAATGGCTGGATTCTTTGAAATCCCCATCTCATGCCCTGCGTTATTGGACACACGTCCCGATTCTTTGTCCGGCTCAAGCCAACGGGCCCATTCATCTGCTCAAGGCCATTTAAAACGTAACGAGCCGTCTCACCCGAATAACAACGCGTTTAATTCTGTATTTCGCTTTTCTTTTAATGGAAGCGAAGCGTTAGCTGTGGATTGCAGCAGAAGTGCCCCCTCATCTTACCAGGTTCCAAAAAGCTGAGTTATGCAGATTAACACCAACCCAAGGGATTTCCTAGTGGATTTCAAATGTTTAACGAAAGTATTTTAAGATACGTGCACAAAGACTGCTGAACGGTCAACTTCTGGAAGAAAGATTCCCTCTCGAGTCACACTGGCACTGCTCTTTATCCCATCCAAAAACCCTGGACCGACCGTGCGGAACATCGCAGCGGCTGTTCTACTGTATTGTTTAAACACCTCATGTTTATTTTCCTAACAAAAGCAGAGGAAAAAAAAAAAAAAAAAACAACAGAAGCGGGAAAATGCCAAGACACGTTTAAGGCCTAACGAAATGGAATTATTTCACTATGGGTACAACCTTTAATTATACAATCTAAAACAAATTCCAGCGGCGATTTCACGCGCTCTCCTGCTCCGCTCGGGATTTACAACCGCCGGAGCGTTTGCGGGAGGCGATCGCGCTCGGCTTTGCTGCACTTACGCGCAAACCTCGGGAACTTGGAAGGCAAAATAAATAAATAAAGGTGTAATCATAAAAAATAAACTCTTGGGCGCCTTACAGGGGTATTTTTAACGCGTTTTTAAGGAAAAAAAACAAACACTTCTTTGAGCATTAGTTGGACACCGGCGGCGCGGCTCCCCCAGGCCCGCTCCTCGGGGCCCTTTGTAGGGGAGGGCGGCG